CGGCTGTTTCCCCGATTTCCTCCTTTCTTCGGCTTCCCTGTGTCTCTCCAGCAAAGAAGCCCATCCCATTCGTCTGTGGGTGTTATTTCTGCCAAATATTTACATTCAGTATCTCAACGTACAGACGGAAGCCCTGGCGTAATTATACACACAAAGCGAGACCGTGTAGTAAATACGCCAGCGGTTGCATACGCCCCCCCCCTTGCTACCAGAAGAGCTGCGAATACTGCCGTCAGGTTCTTCTCCTCCCATTTCGTTGTCCTGACAACCAAGCCTGTGAAGGAGATCAGGTTGAGAGGATGTAACTCCCCAAACGCATGGAGTAAGGGCCAAGCAGGGATTTGAACGCACATCCCAAGTCCTAGTCCTGTTTATATGATTCTATGGGTCAGGGATGCTGAAGAGCAGCTGGTCCCAAACACTTCCAACGGCCTGCTGTGAAGGAGAACCTGGCTGGCTGGCTGGCTGTTCCCGCAACTTGTAAAAAGGGGGACTGGACCAGTGGTGTTTGTGTTGGTGGTGAATCTCCTATCCATCCTGTGTTTGGACAGTGCAGCTCCTTCAAGGGTGCCTGGACAAAGTCGAGGTGTCCCTCGCCAACCTGCTCCTCATCTCTTAGTGTTGCTTGCCTGCAGTGGCGGCTTCCTTGTGCTTAATATTAGGACCAGCCTAGGAAAGGGAAACAGAACAGAACACCATTACCCCCAACTTAGAGGTGGGAAGGCTTGCTTTGACAGGGGTACAGAAAGGCTTCATCTATGGGGTGGGGAGTGATGGTGAAGGCCATGGCTGTCCCCGCAGTTTGTGTTCTCTCTCTCTCTCTCTCTCTCTCTCTCTCCCTCCTCCCCCATGACAAGTCTATTTTGTGCAAAGCGGAGGGACCTCTTAAAAGCCCAGGGACAATATGACCATATTCCTACCTACAGTTCTCCTTTGGAGATGGGAGGAAGGGAAGGGGAGGAAGATGGGGAGTGGATCAGGTAGAAGAGGCCCAAAGTTGTGCAGAGGCTCATGAGTGGCTGTGTTGTGTTGTGTCTGCAGCATTAGGCTGAGGGATGGTGGCAGCAGTCGTGAGTCAGAACTGTTTTGTCTGCAGTGGTGGGGGTTGTGAGACAGTCTGCCAGCCGTTGTGGTGCTGAAGTGGCAGCATGCTTGCCAGCAAGGCCTGTGGAGAGGCAGTCAGGCAGCCATAGGTACTCCATGGGATCACTTGAGCATGGTGGTGGGTTATTCTTTTATTGGGTGTAGGCTGGGGTGGAGATATATTACCTTTGATGTGGCTGGGAACAGGTGCCCTTTCCTTGATTAGGGAAGGGCACATGGATTTCAACTGGGAAAGATTCCTAGAGGAATGCCCTCCCCCGGAGGAGGCACATGTTATACTTCAACAAAGGCCCACTCCTTCATAGGCGTGTGTGGTTTTAAGGCATTAGGTGGCTCTCTGGTTCCCTTGAGGTATGTTGTGTATGGAGCAGAAAAATGTGGCTAGATGGTAGCATTTCAAACGCTGTGGTTCTGCTTCTCAAAAAATTCTTTTGTGGGGGATGCAAGGTGAAATGGAGCCGCGTGTTTCTGCTGTTCCCGTTTCTGTTCATGGGTGGCTTTATGTCAGATGGCCGGATGTGGTGTCTGCTGCTGGGCATGCCTGTATCTTTCAGAGCATGGAAGAGCTCATGAGTGTTTTGCCAAGTGAAGAGCAGTTGGGGAGTGCTCAGTCCTCAGCCACACCTAGAGCCAAGGAAGCTTGTCTTTCCAAGACATTAAGGGCAAGGGGATGATGCTTCAGCAGCCAGTCTCTTTTTCACTCAGTTTTACCCAAGTCTAAAGCAAAGAGACATGGATGAGAATGAAAAAATGGGCACGTTCTCCGTACCCCTTTTCTTGACTGCTGTGGCAACCAAAGGTTGAACTCACGGAGCACCGTGGGGGCTGCACGCGACAGCATAGCCCCTTCCCTCCCTCCCTGCTCCCTTGCTACAGGTCTGTGCTATCTCAATGCAGAAACAGAGCATCTTTCCTGCCCTTGTTATTGCCAACCACCTAAAAGGATCGTGGCGGTGACTTTAGGACTAGAGAGGCTTCCCAGAGCTAGTCTAAGCGCTCATTCCCAGGACCAAGTGGGCACTAAGTCTATTTACCATAACTGCTTGGATTCACTTACTGTATTTTTTGCACCATAAGACTCACTTTTTCCCCACAAAACAGGAGGTGTGGAAAGCCTGTGCATCTTATGGAGTGAAGAAAACAGATTATATTTTCCTGTTTTCTTCTCCTAAAAAATTGGTGCGTCTTATGGAAAGGTGCGTCTTATGGAGCGAAAAATACGGTAAGTTGTCCACATGAGGCAGAGGGATCTGTCAAGCTCCCCTCTCCCTGTTGGGCAGGTTGGAAATGGATAAGACCTTCTGACTAGCGCTGCTGCTCTCCTACCTGTTTCCACCTTCTCTCTCAGACAGCCCCTGGAAATGTGAGACTCTGAAGTCCAGCCTTTCTTAACCCACCTTAGGATTTCACTATTCAGATGGATGGATCTTTTGAAAAAGAAAAGGAAAAGAAGAATGCCAACCAAGTTGTCTGATGGGCAGGAAGTAGACTTGGGCCTTACAGAGAAGCAGCATGGGCAGATTTGATCCAGAAAGGGGGTGGGAAAGGAAATAAGGCTCAGCACTCAGCCCACAAGGCAGAGTACAGATGCTTTCCAGCTCCTTAGGCCCTTGACATTTGAAATTATTAATGCCATAAATTGACATGAATTGCCTCCTCTTGACAAATATGCATATAAACGTTGTGTTCATGAAAATAACGGCAAGGAAGTAGGAAGAGAAAAGACTCGCAGAACTGTTCAGGACTATTGAAAAAACAGTCAGTGAGACTTTTCCTTTTATTATTATAATCTTTTTTTTTAAAGAAACCCAAACCCAAACTGATCCAACCTTTGTCTTTGCTAAACATCTGGCAGAGGCAGAGTGTGAGGTGGATATGTCAAACTGTCTGCTGAGATAATGCTGGAAGGCTTCCTCCTTTGAAAAGGTTCCCAGAGCTTGGCTTTCTTTTTGACAAGCCTCTGAAAATCAGTGCTGGGGGAGAGGGAGGCCTTCCCCCCCCATACCATACAGCTCTGTGGGCCAATCCCCTTCTTTTCAGCCTTTCCTGCCCTTGCTCTGCCGAAATCTCCCTTTCAGGTGGGGCCCCTTCAACATGTGAAGGAGTGGTTGGGGAACCCGAGACAGACATTCCCGTGAGCTGTATTTGAAACACCCACAGATTTGCAAGGCTACCTCACGTGACATCAGGAGTAAAAAACACTTTAAAAAAGGGAAGTACACCACCTGATAATGTTAAAGGAACCATGACTGTATATGATAGGAAGACCCAACCCTCCTAAGACATATAGCCAGGTGAAGCAGTGCCTCACCAACCCCTTTCCTTGCCTCTCACCTGAAGGTGTTCCCGGGGCTAGGCTAGACTGCCTAGTCATGAGAAATGGTCACAGACCTGAAATAAGGGGCTGGCAAAAAGTCTTGGTTGCGAGCATAGAGTGAAAAGTGGAATAACCCATTAGGCACCAGAACCTGGGCAAGTGGTGGGCCTGCCTGCCTGTTTTGCAAATGATCCATTTCAGCTGCTCCATCTTCACTCTTAGCCATTGCACCTGTACCTGCCAGAGTCATCCCCTAAGGGCTGCTGGACCCAAGCAAAGCAGTAGCTGTTGGAAGTGTTATAGCACGAAGGGAACACTGAAGGAGTCCAATCCCCCCCTCTGTGTCTGTGTGCGCGTGTGTATGTATGTGTGTGTGCGTGCGCGCGCATGCACGCGCACTCATGCACATGCTCATCCTACACGGAGGACTTGTTGTTTAGTTGTTAAGTCATGTCTGACTCTTCATGACCCCATGAACCAGGGCATGCCAGGCCCTCCTCTCTCCACTGCCGCCCGGAATTTGGTCAAATTCATGTTTGACACTGTTCAACCTTTGATGACACTGCCCAGCCATCTCATCCTTTGTTGTCCCCTTCTTCTCTCAAGAGTCTCCTCCAGCACCACAATTCAAAGGCATCAATTCTTTCATCGTCAGCCTTCTTGAAGGTCCAGCTCTCACTTCCATACATCACTACTGGAAAAACCATAGCTTTGATGATGTGGACAGGGGAGGACTAGGTATCCTTAACTGTCTGGGCTTTGGAGCTCCTGAACATTGCCTGCAGACACAAAAAGCACCCTCTGCATCCCAACACTTCCCACCATGTCTAATTGGCTCCCACACCACACAGGGCCTGTTTCTTCCTTCTGTTGGGTGACAAGTGCCAGAAAGAATTCTTGAACTTTCAGATGATATTCAAAGCATTGTCACTGACCTGGAGACTAGCAGTGGACACTAACTGGCCCTGAACCATTGACTTCAGAACTTCCCATCTTGCAAGTGAACAGAAGGCTTTGTGGTTGTCAGGTTGTGAGCAGCTGTGGCCTTTGGCCACAGGATGTGCCTTTGGCGCAGAGCATCCCCTACACTGTCCTCTCTCTTGAAGGATGTGCCTTTGGCGCAGAGCATCCCCTGCAAGCTCACCACTGTGGATATATTTTGCTGAGACGAGGGCTTTGTGGTCTGCCTAATAATATAAATAAATTGTAAATAAATAAATAAATAAATACATGTTGCCCTAGGTGATTGAATGTGTGAGGGCAAAGGAGATGGACATGTGATGTGGTGGAAACCTAGCAAGAGCCCAAGTTCTCTCTTCTTTCTGTGGCTCTTGGGATGAACCCTCCTGCCAAATGCATCCGTACATTAGGATGATCTTTAATGCCAGCCCACTGAGGCACACAGGATGAGATGCCCCAGAGCATAAAAAGGTGGTTTTCAGACTACAATTCCTCCAGCCAGCAAGGCTGCCAAAAGCTGTAGCCCCAAAACATGACTCCCCCAAAGTCACTGGGGTTAGTTAGCAATCCAGAAGAGCCTTATTGCTCCAGAGCCAGAGAGCTGTGGTTGGCCACTCTCACCTTCTGGATTGGAATGAAACCAGTATGCTTAGCTGGAGAAATGTCTGGGTCTTTGCGGCGTTCTGCTTTCTGACTTTTCAAGTCCTGCTGCTGTGCTCATCTACTCAGAAGGAGGCCTGAGAGAAAACCATGGCAGGGACCTCCAGCACAAGCTGGCCACGGCTGCACCCCTCAGGCCCTCTCTACCCTACATGGATGGAGTGGTTGGCCCTTCCTCAAGATTCCTCCCTTTGTTTCCGGGCAGGTGTGGAAGATCAGCTGGCAGTCCCTGCAGCCTCCTGAAGTGATGGCCCTGAGGAAGGTCTGGCCAGCATCTCCTCTCTGCATTGCCAGTCTTGGGATTTTGCTCACGGCGTGTATTCTTACCACTGAAGGGTAAGATGGCAAGAAGCTGGGGATCCTGTTCTAACTCAAGAAAAGGGTGGGAGGGTGGGTGGGAGGCGTTGGGCCCCCCCGTCTCTGCCAACCTTCCTGCTGGTCTGGGAAAGGGAGCCTGGTGGGGTGCCATGTCTGTTTCAAGATGGAGGGGTTGCAGGTCAAAGTCAGGAGAGGAAAGCCACTTCCTACAGGCCACCTTCCCTCTCCCCCTCACCCCAGTTATCTCTGCAAGGCGGGCGGGCGGGCAGGCGGGCAGGCAGGTGACTCTCCTCTCTCCCTCCATCATGGCTTTTGAACTTGCCTAGCTGGGAGGAAAAGCAATCTAGGTCATTTGCTGCAGGGATGCCTTTTATTATGGGCTGGCTTTGCATTTCATTTCTAGTAAGGCCTCATGGCTGGTTGTGCCCACTTTGGAGACTCTCAAGGTATCACAGTCAGAACGCAGCTGAGAAGAAATTTAATAGAGCAGAATGTATTGAGCATATTCAGAAACCACCACCACCCCCAAAAAAAACCAGAACAAGAGGTAAAGCAAAACCATAGTGGCACCTGAGAGGCTACCTGTTATATTCTGACATGAGCCTTTGTGGATAAATCCAGTCCGCCAGACTCTTTGACACTGGAATATAACACTTGGACTTCAAGGTGCCTCTGCGTTTTTGTTTTTTGTTTTCCTTTTGCTTTGCTTTTCTCTGGGTCTGCTTGCACAGAGTGAGGCAGCTTGTTTTCTGAACATGTCAGCATTTATTAAGCATAATGTTTCACTATATTTTTCAAAGAACAGAGACCCAGAGTGGTTACAGACCATAAAGGCAGCAGACCCATGTCCCACGTGTGATTCCCCCAAAACCTGCTGTGGCACAAGGCTGAGGTCTCTGCAGGGAGCTGGCTTTGTCTCTCTCATTCGTTTTTCTGGACCGTCATCTGTCCTTCTGCTGGCATTTGCCCATTCCACTTGTCAGAGAAGGGAAGCAACGTCCAGGACAGAGTCTATTTTCCACCCAGCTTGGAAGAAATTTGTCAGTTGCTCACAGCAGTAGCGGAGCAACATTTCCATGCCTTGAGGACAAGAGCCGGAGTCCTCATTCTCAGTGAGACGTAGGGCTGCCCTCCCTCCGCCCTCCGGCTCTGGTGCATCACAGGACAAAACGCAAACACACAGAAAAACCACCCAAACCATGCCTGGTGTCTGGACCCAGATGGGTGAGAGCTCTGAAAGGAGAAAGACATGCGGGTGAGCAGGCCAAGGAGTCAATGCCCGGGAAGCTCTGTGCCTGGCTGCTTCCAAAGGGAGGCTTCCACGCATGTGCTGATGACATGGCCCTGAGGCACTCTTCTGACTTTGTAGGAAAGAGAGAGCCTCCTTCAGGCTCCTTTGGGCATTTGGGAGTGAAAAAGAAAAAGTGGGCAGGGCTTTGGGAAGACAGAAGAGGGCGGCTCGCACCGCGCACGCACGGAAGCCCTTGCCCTCTTTGCCTGCCCTTCCGCGGAGGCCCCAGCACCACTTCTCCATGAAGGCTTCTCCTTGAGGCCCCCTGAGTGGTGTGTCTTGCTTCCTCGGCCCCAGCCTGGAACTAACAAGGCCTCTTCTTTTCCTTGGCTCAAGACACCTGGAAGAGGCCAAGAGGCCAAGAGACCCCAGAGTAATGCCTGGCCCTAAGGGTTGTCTTGGTGCAAAAACAAAACAACAACAACAACAATACAAAAAACAAAAAAAAACCCTCCAGCCTCTTCCTCCTCCTCCTCCTTCTCACTTGCACTTGGAGAGTGGTGATCTTCACCAAGTAGTGAATGTTTGACCCTCTTCACATGTTCACAATACAAACTCTGATGGGGTGTGTATGTCTAAACTTTTCCAGAGGAAAAGTTGGGGTGGGGAATGAAGTATCACCAGGCAATTTAACTATAGTCAGAGGCAGAGAAAACAAACATTGACCAAACAAAGGGCAATTAATTACAAATTTCAAGGCCACTGTCAGTAGAAAGCGGGGCAAAGGCTGGAACAAGCCAGCAAAAAGCATGCAATTAAAGTCACAGTTGTCCCTAAAAGCCTCAACAAATGCATCCTGTTCACTCTGGGTGGCCTCCAGCTGCAGTTTAGGGCAAGCTGTTTGGTCACAAATTCAATCGGGGTGGGGGTGGAGAGCAGCAATCTGGAAATCTGACACAGAAGACACTAGAATGTAACCATCCCACAAGTGTTTCATGCAGATTCCCTCTAAAGGTGTGGGAAGTGAAGATCAGGACAGCTGCTGCTGAGCCAGGGGCCTCTGGAGTGTAAACCTCAGAATGTTTCTGGGATTAAAAAAGCAGGATTCTGACCAAGGGGCAGAAGCCATTAAAGCAAGAGAACCCATGGGAGGCTGTTTCTTGGGGTTGCAGGAGGGCGGACTGCCTCCCTGGTGGAGGGCCCCCACTGACTGTATCTTCTCTCCATTCCATGGCAGACTGGCTCAGAAGCATGGGCCAGACATTATTGACGATGACAGCAAGGACAACATCACCATCTTCACACGCATCTTGGACCGGCTGCTGGATGGATATGACAACCGGCTGCGTCCCGGCCTTGGTGGTCAGTTGGAGATTTGCCTGTATTTTGCCTGCTGCTGCTCCTTCCTGCTCCTCCTGGGCATTCCTTCTTAAAGCTGCCCCTCCTGCCACCCCCATTTGCTCCCTGCAGGAAGGAAAGAGACTCTTGCTCAGTCAAAGCCCCTCCTTGGGACAAGCTCTTTGTCCTTTCATCCCCAGAGCCTTTACTTGCCATGGTTTCCTGGGACCCTTACTATCAGCCCAATGGAAAGCCACTTGTCCACTTGCTGTGAGAGTGACAGCCACCTTCCCCAGCCTCCTCTTCCTCCACAACCCTTGAGTAGTTGTTGCATCCCTCTGGGAGGAAGGAAGGGAAGAAAAGTTGGGGTGGGGAAGGGAGTCCACAGTTCACTCTCTCAACAGCCAGGTCTGAAATCTGCAGTCTGGGCAGGTCAAGGAGTGGCAAGATAGCTGCTGATGTTTGGCATCCTGCTCGTTGACAGGCCAGGCCAGGAGGGAAGTCTTGTGATCCCCTGAGGGGTGGTCAGGGAGGCACATGGGGTGGGGTGGGGGTGGCGTGTTGGTGAAGGACTAGAAGCTGGATCTTCCTACATCGCTTGAGCTGCCTCCTGCAAGGCAGTTGAGATACAGCCCCAGCAGCCCCCGCCAACATCGTGCCTTCCAGGCCTGTGGCCACTCAAGAGTTACGTCAGTTTGTGCTGAAAATGGGATTTGGGGCCGGATGCTTCTTTCGCATCCTGTTGTACTTCAGGAATGGTTTGATTGGACAGAGCCAATTTTGTGTACAGAAATGGACTGGGAGTTTGTGGAGCAAGCACCTGGTGTTTCCAGAATGTGGTGCCTGATTGGGAGCAGCCTGGAGGACGTAGAGATGTCTGGCTTTTCCATGAGGTGCCACTGGTCCTTTTAGATCTGGCTCCTCCCCCTCGTTCTGGGTTCAGTTTCTACCTGTGGTCCAATCCCTTGGCTTCCAGATGTTCATGGGCCTGGAGTTCTCCTTCCATTTCTAGGCCCAAACTCCCTTCCCCTCCAAAATCAAATGTGCACCTTGAGAGGATGCCTTCCCACCTCTTGCTTGCATTTTTAAAAATCTACCTCCCACCAGCTTCCCTCTTGCCCAGAGAACAAACCCAAGCAGCTTCTCCTTCTCTTCAGCAAAACAGCTCAGTGGCCATGCCTGGGTGTGTCTGGCAACACACCACTAGGCTTCCGGCTTGCGGCCCCATGGTGCTACCATGGCAACACAGCTGCTCCTGAAAGAGAGAAGGATAGAGAGAGGTGCTGCTGAGAATCCGTGAAAGGGGCTGGTACAGCTTTGTGAAACGGGAGTTTTTTTTAGGGAAGAAAGCTGAGCTGGCTTGAGCTCCCCATGGGAAAGAAGCACCTGCATTTTCATCTGGTCCCACAGGAGGGTTGTACCCTACACACTCTCACACTCTCTCTCCTCAGGGTGCTCCGGGTGACAGGAGTTTCTAATGGGCCTTCTCCTCCCTCTCTCATCCTCAGGCCTGACCTCCAGCCCTGCCCCTCAGGGTCCCTCCCCCTCACCAGCATCCTGGTGTTTTTTTTGGGGGGGGAAACTGTTCTTGATAAGGCAACCAGTGCTATTGGGGCTGTTCCTGCTTTGGCATTTCCCTTCTGGGAGGGGCGTAGAAGATGCACACGTTTCCCCAGCTGGCAAAGGAAAGATGACCAATAGGCAACCATGGAGCCAAGGGGGTGGGCAGGGAGGCTGGGGAGGGCCAAGAATGGGTTGGGCTGCCCGGTGCTTCCAGGCTGGGTCCTGGGAGAGCAGCTGCTCTCTGTCAATGGTGCCGGCTTCCCTGATGCAGCCCCTGGGCCATCTTGTGTCCTCCTCTTGGTGCCCTTTGTGCTGTCCCGGGTGGTGGTGCCACACAAGAGCGTGGCACAGGATTTACATTCAACCCTCCTCCCAGTCACTGTGGTGCTGTGCAAGAGGGAAGGCAGCCCTGACGGGCAAGTAGGCAAACTCTAGCCCAAGAGGCCGTGCTGGCCCTGGTCAGATTTCACAGGGCCACTGTTGAACCTGTCCAAAAGGAAGCAGGACCAAGGGACTCTGTTAGGGCCCCGTCCTTCAGCAGGGGGTCAGGGGTGGGCAAGAGGATGCCGTGGCCCTGCAGATGCTGCTGGGCTCCAACTCCGCAAGAGGCAGTTTTGACAGGCTAGTTCCACCTATCGAATCAGAGGTGTGCTCTGGTTACCTCTAAGGAGCAGAATGTCTTATTTTGGTGTGTGATCAATTTCCTCTTGGATGCTTGCATAAAAGCTTTCAATTTCTTTAGCATCTGTTCCTAGAGCATAGCCTTGAATGACAGTTTTGTTGACAGATTGTCTAAGAAGTCTGATAATATCCTAACTGTCTGTGTTATATCTTGCCTCAGTATTAGAGCCACTCAATTTCTTCTGAGTTTGCCATTTCCAGAGTAAAACACTTTGTAACTGTCTGACTAAAAATGGCCCATTCTGGCCCACTTTAATTCAGTTATACCAATCACTGCAATGCTTAACCTTCCACTTCTTGCTGTACAGTTTCCAATATACCTTGATTTGTACTGCTCATATTCCATGTTCTAACTGTATGTGCTATGTTGTATGAAACTTTCCTTTCACCTCTGTACACATTGGCAACTAGATTTCTTCTCATTTTTAATCTAGTTGGGTCATTAGCATCAGGGCTATTTGTATTTATCCTTTGGTCTTCCCCAGAAGCTAGCTGCTTAAGTGCCTTCTGTCCTGGGAGTCTCATCTTCCAACACTATCTGTTGTTTCATTTTGAATAGTCTGATCATAAGTTTTTTAATGTAAGAAATATTCAGCAGTGATTTACCCCTGTCCTCTGCACAGTATTAACAAGAGTTAGCTTGAGTGTCACTGTCCTTGCATGTGAAAAGTCCTCCACCAGTGTCTGCTTCCACTACTGCTGGTGCCCAGTAGCTGTCCTCCAAGCGTTTCTCCAGCCCCATCACCATTTGAATTATCCATTCTCTTCTGCTGATGCTGCTGTTACTCCTGTAGAGGGTGGCTTTGTCCTGATCTGGTGCCTCGACTGTGATTGTTCCTCCTTGGGTGACCCTGCTAGGAGTCCAGGCTTGTAATGGAGTCTCGCATCCTGATGACCTTGCTCTTGGCTTCAGAGGAGCCAACCCCTAACCATGCTAGGTGTGCATATAGGTGTGGGTGTGGCTATCTCCAGGGCTGTAGGTAGGGCAGGCAACTCGGGCTGTGTCCCTGAGCACCAAGACTGAAAGGGTGCCAACGCCGAGACATGGATATCTTGGTGAGTAGTGAAATGGCCCTATTTGCTTTCCTTTTGTTTGAAAGCATAAATGTTCTTTCCTTTTCTGAGGGTGGCGGGACCCCATCCTGTCCATTTTTTCCCTTGGTGGTTCTCACGCCCCTGCCTGACAAGGCCTCCTCTGTGGAGGCAGGAAATCTGCGGGAGGGTGAGCAACCCCACACCCATCGTTCTGGAGTCCCTTCTCCCTCACGAAATGGCAGGGCCATCACCGTGCCCCTGGTGATCTCCACGAGATAATCGGAGATATGAAGGAGGAAGCCCAAATATTCAGCCTCTCTCTCCTGCCCTCACCCCCAACCCCGTTTTTTCACTGCTGGAGTAAGAATCAGCAGCAGCGACCCACGGGGGATGCAGCAGCTCCTGCGGAGAAAGAGGAAACCCCCCCGCCCATCCCCCCCACCCCTATTGAAAGGAAGGCTCCCTCGCAGTGGGTTTCGGGTGACCCTGAAAGGGAAGGCTGGCTGTGAGTGTCACTGTCGCAGCTCCCACGACTGCCCCAGTTCCCAGGAAGGCCCTGCGGGTGTTGGGGCCACTCCGTCTCTCCCCTACTCCCAGCTCCTCCTCTGAAACCAAGCTGGAAGAAAGCATCTCTTCACTGCTCTTTATCTCATGTAGCATTAATGATATGAGATGCACTTTGCAAGAGAGGAAACCTATAATTAATTTGCCAATCAGAAAAGTGGGTGTGATTTGCAAGAGAGACTGAAGATGTGTAACTGCGGGAGGAGGCAGGCAGACAGAAGATGGTTGGTGGAGCCAGGACAGAAAAAGGAGTAAAGGACCTGCCTTGGTGTTAATGCTCCAGTAGAATTGAGATCATCCCAGGAGAAGTTTAGATGCAGGATCAGAGCCTCATTCAGGAACATCCCTCCCACACCTACACACAGTCATGTTGATTTAGTTGGGCCACAGAGCCCTGTCCTATCTCTCCATGCAGCAGAGGTGGGCAGGAAGGATGCCTGCTGGGGGAAATGGCGTGTCTCTGGAGTAAGGCTTCCTTTCTGTGCAGCCAAGCAAAGAACTCTGTGGGTCCTCAAAGCATAAATCTCTAGGCATCAGCATGGGAGGCAACAAGGAGAAGGCCTCAAGGGAAGCTGTCACTTCTTGCCTTTTGCTGCTGGTGGATGCAGGAGAGAGAGAGAGAGAGAGAGAGAGAGAGAGAGAGAGAGAGAGAAAGAGGAGAGAATTGCCTTGCTTTCTCTCCACTCCTCTATCTGAGTCTCAGAGGCTTAGGCTTGTGGCTGTCGAGCCAGAGGTTGGGAGTTTGGCCCCCAGCTGTGCCTCCTTGACAGGGACTGGACTCAATGATCTATAAGGTCCCTTCCAGCTATGTAGTTCTATGATGATGATGATGATGATGATGATGATGATGGTACTAGTGTTGAACAACACTGGGCCACCCCTCTTGTCTCTCCTTTCCAGCATAAGATGGGACCATCAGTGAGCACTCTTTGGTGCACTCCATCAACCTTTTTCAAATCCACCTAACATTAGCACCATCTAGTACACATCCTGCCACCTTCTCTACATGAACATCAATGTCTTACTGAAATCAAGTTACACTACATCCACAGCATTCTGCTGGTCTACCAAGCTTTTTTACTTTGTTTTCTCTAACTCCAATCCTGGAAAAATCATTTCAGACATCAGTACAGTATTTGCCCTCTTAGTAGTGAAAACCGGTGAAAATAATTCGTTCAACTTTTCTGCAACCAGTTTGTCTTCATTCAGACTTCTTTTAATTTTATTGTCATGCAGCTGTCCATCTCACATCCTGTCCTTGCTGCATTTTAAAGGATTCTTCCTTGTTCTTTGCTGCTGGTGTTGACATTCTCCTCCAAATTCCATTCCTCCCTCCCTCCAACTCCCAGCCTCTGGCTCCACGGCCAGATGTCTAGAAAACTGAGCTATCCAACAGTCTTCTGAAAGAGAGCCTGTGCAACAAAATACTTAAAAACTAAGTTGGTCGATTAGTCCACAATTCCTCAGAGACAAGGGGCCTCTCAGTTAGGCTGCTGATTTCTATGTGCAGAGTTTGGTAGGAATGACATGTTTATCATAAGCCACAGCAATGTTTTTTACTGTGTGTTGTCTTTAAAGAGGCGCGAACCTGCTTGCAACACATGTCCTGTTTTCATGCGATTCCTTGCACTAAAGCGAGACATATCATTCCATGGGGCTGGTGGCCAGTGCTGGGGGGGGGGCTTCTGACTCCTGGTGGAGCTGGTGTCCTGGCAACTGTTGACAGTTTTCACCTACATAATATGTGGCAAAAAGGAGCTGTTGGAGCTGCTTCCGTCACCCCCCCGCCCCCTGCCAGTATAAGAACAATGTCAGTGGCAAAGTAGTCCAAAAACCTCCCAGTGCTGGCTGGCCAGTGACTTGGTTCTTGCTGAGGTGGGGGGAGGTGGTGGTCCAGTGGCTCTGTTTTAATCACATGTGAAGTGGGTCAGGACTCTGCTGCTCCAGCCTGGCACTGTCAGTGGCTTGGGAGCCTCCTGGCAATGCCTGGCCAGTGGTGTTGGCTGGAAGGGGAGCTCTAAGGCAGTTTAAAAAAGCTTGGGTCAGGCATCATGTGCAGGAGAGGAGAGTTGGCATCATGTGCAGCTACAGGAATGGCTACAAATTCCACCTCTTCCCCTCTCCCCCGTGTGCCGTTTCAGCCTGCCTGCTAGAGGAGTGGGAACAAAGGGGAAATGGGGAAGAAAGATAGGCATTGAGTGTTGAGCATCTCGTGCTTTGGGCTCACTTGTCCAGCCTGGCAGAGGTTGGGATTTTGGGTTTCAGTGGCGAGACAGCCGTACCACCCCGCTTGCCCTCTGGGCAGTGAAGAGCTTGTCCTCCTAGGTTCTCTTTCCTGGAGGAAGTGACGATGCAGCCCGCTATTCTTTTTGCATATCTGAGTGAACCTGTGGGCAGAGGCTAGCCTGGGAGCCCCTTCCTTGACCGTCCTGGCAGGCAAGGGGCCTCCCCTCCAGTGAGTGTAGCACAGCCTTGGGGTGGGCTGTGGGGCCAAAAGAAACACCCAAGCAGCATCCTCAGTGCCTTCAGTTCAAGAGGGATGAGTTGAAGAGGCAGAACGGGAGGGCACGGTGCTATGCGAAGCAGCCTGAAAGAGGAACGGACTGGGAGACAGAGGCCTAGCGAGGGCAGGTCTGACAAAGAGAGATCATCCTGTCCCTTAGGAGAGACAAGGTGAGAGGGACAGCTCTGAGCTCTTTGTTTCATTCAGGTCATCCTGTGGGACCCCCCCCCTTTGCACCCTCTTCTCTCATGTGTTCTCCATCGTCCTTCCTGAGTCTTTCTTTGAAAACAAGTGCCTTCAGTAGCCACTCATTCCTGTGGCCATGGTGGTGAGATGCCACTGAGGTATCCAAACCTTAGAGGGCACTCCCTTCCTCCCCATGTCTTGCACCACCACTTTGTTTTGCTTTGAGTTAAGAGAGATGTTTGTTGCTTGCTTCAGTGTCACCTTCTCAGCTAATAAGGTTGAATTGGTATTTACATCACTTGCTGGAAATATATGCTCACAATCATTCCTGACCTTTTGCATCTGGGCTCGGGAGCTGCAGGGGGCATTTCTTTCTTTCTTTTTTCCTTAGCCTTGGATGAGCTGGTTGTTAGACATGCAAACAGATCTAAGAAACAAACCATGGCAATTTTACCGAGGTTATAAAGCATGTTGTGCTGAGCAAACTACACTTCGGTATTGAAAGGGTTAAGGAAAGGTATTCTCTCTGTGTGGCACTGGACATTTACAAGGCACCTAAATGCCAAGAAGTCTTTGGGTGTGGTGAGATTCTGAGTGGGCTGCAGAGGAATCCTATGATGTCAAAGAGGGCAACCCTGCATCAGAGCCTCTGGAGATGCCAGGCAACTTCTCCTGAGGAGGTGTTGGTGGCATCAGCATTGGCTGAGGCAAGTCAAAGGATCACTCAGAAGAGGTGTATGGGGAAAGTGTGTTGCCTCTTGCATTTATCAGTAGATATAAGCCATTCTCAAAACCACCACCTGGCTTTGGTTGGTCTTTATTTTGAAGGGGATGGACAGCAACTGAGAAGCAGCTCTTTGCATTTAAGCTTGCAATCAGAGCCCTTAAGAATGGACTGTGTCATGGAAGTCTGTGTTGCTAACAGGTACCTGGAGATCCAGAGCCCCATGGAAGCTTGGGGGCATTAAAATAGTTCCCTCCACCTGCCGTCTGTTTGTCTCAGGCCTTTCCCAGCACGTTGTTGTTATTTAGTCTGACTCTTCGTGATCCCATGGACCAAAGCATGCCAGGCCCTCCTGTCTTCCACTGCCTCCCAGAGTTTGGTCAAATTCATGTTGGTAGCTTCAGTGAGCTGTCCATCCATCTCGCCTTCTGTTGTCCCCTTCTCCTCTTGCCTTCACTCTTTCCCAACATCAGAGTCCTTTCCAGGGGGTCTTCTCTTCTCATGAGATGGCCAAAGTATTGGAGCCTCAGCTTCAGGATCTGTCCTTCCAGTGAACACTCAGGGTTGATTTCCTTCAGAATGGATGTTTGATTTCCTTGCAGTCCAGGGGCCTCTCAAGAGTCTCCTCCAGCACCACAATTCAAAGGCATCAATTCTTCGGTGGTCAGCCTTCTTTAGGGTCCAGCTCTCACTTCCATACATTGCTATTGGAAAAACTATAGCTTTGACTATGTGGACTTTTGTTGGCAAGGTGATGTCTCTGCTTTTTAAGATGCTGTCTAGGTTTGTTGTCACTTTCCTCCCAAGAAGCAGGCATCTTTTAATTTCCTTGGCTGCTGTCACCATCAGCAGTGATCATGGAGCCCAAGAAAGGAAAATCTGTCACTGCCTCCACTGCCTCTCCACTGTGACCTGCCCGTCTTGGGTGTCCCTGCATGGCATAGCCCGCAGCTTCTCTGGATTACTCAAGCCCCTTTGCCATGACAAGGCAGCAATCTGTGAAGGGGTCCCAGCACATAGTGGGTGACAATCGAGGGTCATTGAGCAGGACCTCCTTCCCTCCCTCCCTCTCCCCGCCCGCCCCCCCAACAAACCTAAAGTGGAAATTAGATATTGGGAGCATTTTCTGTGGAAATGCAAACAATCTGTAATCACATCCCTTTCATGTGCCTTCCAGATACTGTCACCGAAGTCAAGACAAACATTTATGTGACAAGCTTTGGGCCGGTTTCAGACACAGATATGGTAAGTGCTCTCTGTGTGTGTGCGTGCGTGCGTGCGTGCGTGCGCGCGCGCGCAGATAAGAGATTCCCAAGAGAACAACAAAGACTCTTCTGGCACTTTTAGGACTTCATAAATTTTATTTTGACATCACCTTTCACGAATATCGTGCCACTTGTTCAGATGGACAGAGCGAGATAGTTAAGCCACAGCCCTGTGATGCCGGTTACAGAGAAGGGGCAGAATGGAGATACTTAAGAAAGTGATCATTGTGGTATTTATGCTGTCATAAACTCTCAAAGGGCTGGTTAGTGGGAACTTCCTGGCAGACGGCTACTCTCCAAGGTGCTGAAGCTGCTTTCAAAACTGTGTCTTTTTTTAAGAGCCAGAAGTGACTGTTTTGTCTCATAAACCTGTAGAAAATATGTTTTATAGATGGATAGTAATACAAACTAACTCTCAGAGATGATCTGATTGACTTAGATTAATAGGATAAGAAGCCCTAGTCTTTGTTCAAGCTGCAAGAGACAAAGTTGAACCTCTTCATGCATTCTTGTCTAGCTGTATCTCTTTGGAAGCTGGCCTTGAAATTCTTTTGGTCAAGGATAGTGACCTAGACCTCTGATACTGTATGTCTATAGAGACTGAAGTGCTACCTCACTGCTTTCTGAATATTATTAATTTTTGTCATTTTTATGCCCACCTGTTATTTTGTGCAGAGACTGATCTTTTTGTTGTATATAAAGCCCTATGGTTAGCAAAGTGTGATGTGTATGAAACTGGATAATGAGCAGGTGTATGAGCACTTTATATTGTGGATTATATCATCAGACTCCTTAACGGTGTTAAAGGAACAAGGACACCTTCCCATGTGGACACACCTGGCCAAGTGCCTGGGCAAAGGCCCTTTGTGAGAGTGATGGAACAGGAATCTGTCTGCTAGGGGCAGAGTCCTCCCAGGTCCATGGCACTGGATTGTCCACCCAGTTCCTCCCCATTGTGCACCTACCTGCCTGTGCTCCTTATTCACTGTGCTCTTTTCCAGAAAGGGCTCATAAGGCATGCATAGAACAAGTTGGCATGTAAGGCCAAGCCTACCTCTTTCATCTGTGGAGAGGAAGGGGCTTCCCCTTTCCTGACCAGTGGGGTCTCTAGCAGCCTGTGGAGCAGACTTTCCTGACCAGTTGCCCTCACTGGCCATCCATGACCGTCAGCTGGGAGTGGTGGCCCAAAGCATCTGGAAGTCACCAAGCTGGCGTGGAGGCGCTCATCCCCACTGGCGCAAAGAGGCATAAGAGGAAAGAGCCTCAGATCCTTTCTTGTGAGAAAATGGGGGCTGGCAGGCCAGGAGGCTGCTGAGGGGAGAGGGCTAATGACAGGCTTGAGGACTGGACCAAGGCCTCTTCCATTTCCACAACAGCTAGCCTAACTAAGGCAGCCACATGTGCTAGCATTGCCCCTTAGCACCCACCCAGCCCAGAAGACCAGGAGGGGCATTTGGAGGCAGAGAAGCCAGAGTCCCTGCCTGTCCTTTGGACTGTCCAGCCTCAACTTCCTCCTTCATCTGTCGTGAGACTGATAATCTCAGGGCCTGCCTGCCTGTTCTCAATTCCCTCCCTTTCCTGATGCCCTCCAAGGGCATGTGCCCGTCTGGCTGAAATTTGGGTTTCAGCTTTTCTGTCTTCAGTGTAACATACTTAATTAATAAATGTGGCTTTTGTTTCAAGTGCTTCTCCTGCTTTACTGTCGGTCCACGTATCTGCACAGCAGTTATTCTGCTACTGAGAGAAATCTTAATCATTTCCCTTCCTCTCCTTGTGAGCATTCACAACAACATGAAGCACAGTCAACTGGGAAAAGGGCAGCAGAAAAGAACTGTCTGTCAATGCCTGAGGATTTGGTAAAAAACAACAACAGAGAGAGAGAGAGAGAGTGTGTGTGTGTGAGAGAGAGACCACATGTGTGACTTGCCTTTCACCTGCAAGTGTCTCTTGTCTGCATTTGTAATGGGGGATTTGCTCCTCCAAAATGCAGGGCAAAAATCAGAATGATGGATCCAGAAGGTGGGGGAACAATTAACGTTTTATAATATTCCAATTTGATGAGTTCCTCATCCAGGGGGACCCTTTTTGGGGCTACTCCCTCTGGGGTGCAAAGTCAATTCCGTCCCAGTCTAGCTGCTTTTCATTTGCCCTGGCTCTCCTTTCTTTCTGTCACAATTCCACTCTCTCTTTCACACCACAGCAAAGAGACTTAATGTATTCCACCATCCAACCCTCAGGGAGTATTTCATAATTACTTCTAAGGTGGAGCATATTTGATTAAGGGAGCATGTATAATGAACTGTGAAGAACGGAGAAATGGAGTAGGAAGGTATTCTCTGCAGTGTGATTTTGCAAAATGTGCCCCATATTCGGAGAAGCACAGAGGGAGTAGAAGAGAGACACACACACCCCCATGATTTAGTTCCACATATTTGATCCATGGAAAATAAATTTGATGCCACATGCCTGGGGAGGCACCCTGTTCAGGAAAGAAGCTGCCAAGCTCCAGCCGTATCTCCTCCCCTCCCTCAACAACATAAAGAGGGAAGGAAGCCCTCCTTCCTGCTTCCCTACCTCCAGCCACTGGCAGGATCCATCCACTGTGAACCCCACTTTTGTTTCTTGGAATTAGCCTGTAGCCTGGCACAAGGGCATTAACGATACACTCTTCTACGCACACAGACACACACAGACACACACACACAAAATGTCTGGTGGACAGGCAGGGTTCTGAGGGGGAGCCACCCAGTGGTCACAGGGATTTTCTACGGGTAGCTGGAGCAGAGGGCAAGAATCTCCTCCAGGAGTCAGGCTATGCTTCCTGGGCTGGAAAATGGGTGAGTAGCGAGTGAAGGTGGACCCTGTAATCTGGCTACCTGATGGAAGGACCTTCCTGACACCAGTGCCCATTTCGTTCAGTGCATCTGTGGGTGGAATTGCCATGGCTACAGAGAGTAGGGGAGGAGAGGGGAGGGGAGGGGGAGTGAGGTGGGATGCCTGGCTGGCCGTGTCCAGACACGCCTGCATTCCTGGCAGCATCTGCGCTGCTGGGCGCTCCAATGTTGTCATGGTGACTGTAACCATGGGGGGCTGTTGGCCAGAAATTGTGAGTGGACCTTGGGTACCTGCAATGAATCATGGGGGGGGTTGTAAAAAGGCATGGACAACCCCCCATGCTACATTGTGTGTGAGAACTTAGGGGAGAAAGCGGGGATTCTGCTCACATCCACCCCTGCCATGGTTGCCCTGGACCTGGTCTTTTTGGGGTGATTGGAAAGAAATGGCTTGTTGCTGGCAACATTTTTCTGCAGAGCCCCAGGATGCCTTGGCTTTACCCCTCCCCCGCCTGAGCCCCTGTTCATGACAAGAGCACGGCTGGGTTGGAAACAAGAGGTCTGTAGTGAAGATCCAGCCTCCCTTTCTCTCTCTCTCTCTCTCTCTCTCTCTCTCTCTCTCTCTCTCTCTCTCTCTCTCTCTCTCTCTCTCTCTCTCTCTCTCTCTGTGTGTGTGTGTGTGTGTGTGAGAGAGAGAGAGAGAGAGACTGAGAGAGAGAGCATGCCCGTGTCACAGAACTGGACCATCAGCTCAGTGATTGACTAGCAAACTGGTGAGGGCCTTGCTGAGAAGGGTGGGGGAAGAAGGCAAGCACAGAAGATCCCGTTGCTGCTAGCAGGGAGCTGGGAGGGGACTGGAGTGCAAAGGGAGGGGGAAGCGTCGCAGCAGCAACCCATTGGCAACCGCAGGAATTCTTGGCGGTCTGGAGGGTCAATGCTGGATGGCCGCCATCCAGGGGATACACTCGAAGGACGGAGGGTGGGAAACTGGGAGGAGAGGGCCAAAGGCCGTGGGCGGGTCTTGTTTTGCACTCTGGTTTCTCATGTGAAAAGCTGTTGCAGTGGCTGAATGTGGCCCTGGGGATGGAGGCCTCAGGGCATCACCACCCTTCCCATCCCCAGAAGCCCATCGTGGCTCCTACAGGCAAGCAGGCAGCTGCCCTCCATCTGATGAAATCCCCTTCCGCCTGGAAAGGGGTGGGGATCACTGAGGATCCCGGCCCCACAGAGGTGGCCACAAGCTACTTGAGAAACAAAGGTCCGTGCCAGCAATCCCGGGGCCTCAGCACCCCAGGCTCACTCTTGCCTCTCCCGATAGGCCCCTGCCTTGAGGAACGGCGAAAGGCTGCCGTGGCTGAGGTCTTTGCACTTCTCTACCAACATGCAGGGAGCTCATCCTGCTTTGGATAAGAGGCACAATTGCTATGTTGGGGTCCCAGCACTGCTTTGACCCCTTCCTCAGCTCTCCCACACAGCTCACTGAGGCAGCCTGCTGAACTGTGAGCTCTGAGGGAGCAGGAGAAAGTCTCCTGATTTTTCCCATGGCAGACATGACCTTCTGTTCAAGGGAAAGTTTTGTTGTTTGCATGGAACGTAGAGAACTGTGAGCACTTTAGAAAACAAAAAATTGTCTGGCTATCATTGTACAAATGCTTCATTCCTTTTCCAGGCAGAAGAAATCATTATATATCACTCATGGTGAAGCAGGTATTTCTTCTGTTGACTTAACTGCTAACCTGGAATTAGCTGTCAATAATTTCATACTATCTTTTTTTGCCTCCAGGCTATATGTTTAGCAACCTCTGATCTAATTGCACTTAGAGAGCAGGGAATAACAAACCTTTTCTTCCTGTGGACCTGACAAGTGTGACCTCAACAAAAAGTGGGTTATGATGACAAGAACTAAAATGTCTAGTAATCTAGTCCAAATATCTTGCTATGGTGTCAAAATTGTAATTGTTTAATTCCCAGGCATTGTTTATAACTTTCACCTTCTGCAGTGAGATATTTCATTAACGTTTACTCCCACCAGGTGGTAGCAATGGAGTGCTAACTGTTTTTGTCTCCAATTAATTTTGATAATATAAATACAAATGCTTATGTTCCTTATGCACTGGCTCACAGGAACACATTCGTTTTACTTGTAATGAGAACAATGGGCCTCTTGGGCATCTCCCCAAAGTCACTCTGCCAGCAGCCTGGGTACTCGAGAAGGGCGCTGCTGCCTCTTCTGTCCAGGGCTGACTAGAATTAGATACTCTCAGGGCACCTCAGCTTATTTCAACAGGTATAGTGTTTCCCCAATAGGCTGGTCTTGTCTCAGTTAATGCTAGTTAATAATATTTTACAACATTATCATTCTGTTGTTTGTAACATAATTCATCTCTGTGCTGTGTAAACAAAAGCATTTTGAGTCCAGCAGAACTTTCTGGACTAGTAAGAGTGTAATTTTTTCTTCTCATGTTGCCAATGAGACCTTTGCTAGCCTTGTTTTGGTTTCTTATTACACACACAGCTTCATAAACATGTTTATTCAGGGAAGAGTGCAAAAAGGAAATCCCCATACTTTTGCTTTTAATGTATTAGTAAAGTCAAGCCAACTTTTAAAACCAGTTTTCTTTTCTCAGAAGTAATTCTGAAGGCTTTTGGGTGCTTCTGTTTTGGTGAGCAAAAAAAAACAGGAAGCAATTTTGTGAGTGTGCACATGAACAAATGTCACACTTTCACTGAGTCAGTGAATTAGGGCTTTGCCTGTCCACTGACAGGGGCATCTGTGTACAGGAGAGGTGCTTAAAATCTTTTCAGCCCATAGGATCCTGAGAGGCAATACTTCCATATGCAGGTTCTTCAAAGATGCTCTCCACTTCTCACTGTTGGGTGTTGCAGAGAATGTTCACAATTGCATAGCCAGGAAAAACCCAGAGATGGACTGCTTTAACCTTGAGAACCTGACTGGGTTATGGGTTTTTGTTTGTGTTGTTATTTTCCAGATTTTGTTGCCTTTGTAGCTCACACTCTAGTAGAAACCTGTGAGAACTCATCATTCCCTTCTCTGGCAGGAATACACCATTGATGTGTTTTTCCGGCAGTCCTGGCATGATGAGAGGTTAAGATTTGATGGTCCCATGAAGATATTGCCTCTTAACAACCTGTTGGCCAGTAAGATCTGGACCCCAGACACCTTCTTCCACAATGGCAAGAAGTCCGTGGCCCACAACATGACCACACCCAACAAACTGCTCCGGCTGGTAGACAACGGAACTCTGCTCTACACCATGAGGTTAGTAACGAGAGCTTTCCCCTGTGAATCACTGCCCCCTTTCCCTCTTGGGTAGCACCTGAGGGATGGCTTGCTTGAACCCTGAACTGAAAGGATGTGTGACATCATCTACCCAAGACTTCTTCAGCACTGGCTTGTAGCCTCCCCTCCTGCTCCGTCCGTGTTGTTTGTTCAAGGGCCATCTCCTCAGCCCTGCCTCTCTCCTACGAATGGCATGAATGGCAACATGATCTGCTTTGATCTGGGTTCTTGCACTGAGCAGGGTTTTGGACGAAATGGCCTTATAGGCCCCTTCCATCTCCATTATTCCATGATACTATGCTGGCCGATCTGGCACCTTCAGTCCAAAGATGCAGCACAGCAGCCACCATGCAACTTATCTGGAAGAGCCATGCAGAGCTCAGCCAAAGGACGCAGAGCACTGAGTCCCTCTGTCCACTTGCTCAAGGTTGGCCTCTTTCTTCAGCTTAGCAGGAGGAACTTGGGGCAGGACAGTAGGGATCTGCTGCTGTTGCTGCCATCTACCATGTGCTCAAGCTTGGCAGGTAAGGTTAGGTAGGCCATTTTAATATCTTTATTTTTACTGGTGATTTCAGTCACTCATAACACATTTCAGGTCCTCTCTCTTGGCCTCTCAGCACTCACCCAGTTTAATAGGATGCCCCTTTGGAGAAACAGGAGAAGCAGCTGGTTGTGCAGTCTTAGGAGTACATACAATATTACATGACACAACACTGTGGGAAGAGCTGCACCTCAGTATCTTGGAAGTAGATTAGTGTGGTCACAGTTAAGAAAGCAACAGCAGGGGCAGCCCATGTGACTTCTGGAATATTCCAGTTTGACCAACAGATGGGTCAAGAAAACCGGTAGTTGGAGTGGCAAAAGAGGACACATGAGCCATCACGTGAGTTCTTCCATTGGACCGTGGCCTTTCTGTTTTGCAGGCTGACTATCCATGCAGAATGCCCTATGCACCTAGAAGACTTCCCAATGGACGTGCATGCATGCCCACTGAAGTTTGGGAGCTGTAAGTACTTCCCTGCCAGCAGCAATGAGGTTTTACTTCCTTGGGGTGGAAGGGGGAGACGACTGACCATCAATCAGGACCGAGTGGATAGGATGGAAGGTTCTACACCTGCACAAGCCTTGTTTCAGGGCTTGCCTGCCTTGGTAAGAGGAGCGTGTCTGATTTTATGCCACCATCTGTTTTGGATTAATGAGATCTCTCTCTCCCAGATTTGTTTTCATTGAAGTTGACTCCTCCACATTCTGCATGATCTGGGAAACATTTATTGCAGAACACCAGGCTCTATAAATGTGTGGAATTTCATCTTCCCCATCATTACTTCTATAATATAATTGTTTCAAATGTGGCTATATAGTTATATACTTTGTATATGTGCACACACACATCAGTGCATCTCTGTCTAAACACTGGTCTTCATTGGCTGAAACAGGATACTACTTCTTTTCTTTGTAGTCATGTTAATAAAGTGTGGTTACACAGCCTTTTGGTTAGGCATGTAAACCCATACATGAAAGAACAAGAAACCACCCCATTTTCCTTCTTGACTGTAAAATGCTGAGGTATTCTATGGCCTTTTTGAAGACAGTTTTCACATCAACCTGACATTTTTTGGACAGATAACACAAGGTACACCGAACTACAATAGATGTTTCTTTATGGCATGGCCTTTTTAAAATCAGGAGCATTTAAGGGATTGTTTGAGTGTTTTTCACTCATCATCTAGTCCCTCAGTGCCTGCTGCATTTGTATTTGCTTAATTTCACAACAGGAAAAGACACTAGCTTTGTGCAGAGAGGTGTACAGGCTGCAGAGAACTCTTGTTTCCATTGTGCATGGGAGGCTTGCAGGGACTGATAATTCCTCAAGGAGATGACTTATCATACAGAACAAGGAATTCACTGTGAGGGAGATTTATTTCTGCTGTCGTGTCAGCTGGCCGCTACTGGGCTGAGGTTGGTATTTTAGCTTCCCGCCTTCCCTCCGCAGATGCCTACACCAAGACAGAAGTGATCTACACTTGGACCTTGGGGAAAGTGGAGGTGGCCAAAGGAGGGTCTCGCCTCAATCAGTATGACCTCCTGGGACACAATGTGGGCAGGGACTCCATTGAATCAAGCACAGGTAAGAGGGACCAGTCTGAAGTAGAAAGGAACCGGGGTGGTCTTCTCCCCACCGGCCATTGCCCCACCTCAATCCAGGAGAGAGGGCTGTCTCTTCCCTAGGGCCTCTTCCTGCTCTCGGCATGGGTGGTTTTCACCTGCCTTGTGAGTAGGCCAAGAGGGCTCACAGCTCTGCTCCTACCACCTCTCTCCTTGCAGCGTCAGGGCCTGCAAAATCTACAGTTTCCCAACTTTGCTCACTCCTGGCAGGTGGCAGGAGCAAGCAAAGTCCCTCTGAACATGGACCCTGTATCTTAGCATACTCACTCCGATGGCCTGAGCATGGGAATGTCGCTGGAACAGATGGCTGCCCTTTTTGCCTGCAAGGAGCTGGTCAGCTGGAGGGGGGGGGCGAGGGACGACGACAGCCAGCTGTTCTGACACCACGAGGCCAGAGGATAATCTGCAGGAAGACTACAAAGCTGTCCCTTGATGCTGATCACTGGTTCAGGCCAAGAGATGCCAGACGGACTGGGTGGCCAGGGGCTCATGCATTGCAGTCACCGGGCAACGGTTTGCTGGCAGTTTGACTTTCTCCACCTCCCTCTTTTTCAGGGACTTACATAGTGATGACCATCTACTTCCACCTCAAGCGCAAGATTGGATATTTTGTGATCCAGACCTACTTGCCCTGCATCATGACCGTCATTCTCTCCCAAGTTTCCTTCTGGCTTAACAGAGAGAGTGTCCCCGCACGAACAGTGTTTGGTGAGTTCTTGGGGGCTGAAATATCAGAAGCCACTTGGAGAAAGAAGGCTGGAGGGCAGGGGGAGGATAGGGATAAAGGGGGAAGGAGCAAGATCGCCTGGAGTGGTCTCATAGACCAGATGGGCAGGGTACAAATAAAATAAAATAAAATAAATCGACCATCCCAGTGCTGTTGAGCTCACCACTCATGAAAGAGGCCTGGCTCTGTAGCAGGAGACTTAAACTTGCCTTTAGGCAAGTCCCAAAGAAGTAGCCATGGTGGTTGGTCTGAGCATGTGGGCAAAAGAGAAGGTTAAGAAAAAGGGGGTGTATGTGTGTGTGCGTGTGTGTGGGGGGAGTAAACTACTGTAAAGTTTTAAGGACTGGAAGTTTTACTTCAGTGTGAGGTTTTGTTCTCTTCCTCAGATGCCTCTACTGCTGGTTGCTGACTGGTTTTTCTAGTCTTGCCTATGAGCCAGTTTGGCAGACTTGTGCGATTGCTTGGAGAGTTCCTAAATGTCAGCCCCAAATCAAAATTTAGCCAGTACTTAATATTTGCGAAAGGCCTTTTTGTTGCTGCATTTAGTGGGGAGAGGGAGAACAAGTCAGATTACAGCTTCTTAGTCCGGTTTCCCCATTGCAGAACAATCCGCCACCCAAAGAGGCTGATATCTGAGATGGATCTCTTCCCCCGCCCCACACACATACCTTGATACTGAGACAGGGTGGGGAGTCGTGATGCTAGCACCCAAAAGAGCCTGCTCTGCAGACCCTCACCCAAAACCCATCACAAACAACCCTTTCCCTCTGTGTGTTCCGTAAATGAAAAACAGTGTCTGCTGTGATCAAACAGAGGCAGGTGCTTCTGCCCAAAGGACCTGCCTTAGCTTGAGCCAGAGTGGTGGACATGTCCCTTCTCCTCCCTGGCCCAGATCTTCTGTTCCCTGCTCCACATCCCAGAGTCAAGCAGGATGGGCGAGGCTGTAGATTTTGCAATTATCTTATCTGATGAACCTTATTTTCCTACTGATACTCTGCACAAGTGCTAGTAATGAAACAGGATTCTTTGCCTGCTTGTGATCTTAAGATCTTATGATCTTAAAAACCGAACAGGCTCATCATGGGAGATATGGTCTTTTAGACAGCTTAGGCCCAAGCTATTTGGGGCTTCTTTGGTTAGAATGAGCACCGTGAATTATGCTCAGAAATGGATCATCACCCAATGGAGCTGCTGTAACACGGTGTGTGTGTGTGGGGGTGGGGGGGTGGGGTTATGTGATCCCTGTGTCCAGCCCAGTTAACAATCTGTGTTTTGTACATGCTGGACTTTCTGAACACTTTCCAGAGGCAGCCCCACATAGAGCCTGTGACAGTAATCCAGTCAGAATGTAACTAAAGCATATGTCACCATGGCCAGTTCTGATCACTCCAGGAATGGCCACAGCTGGCATGCTGGCCCTCCTGGCCACAGCCGAAACCTGGGTATCCCTCTCCATCAGCCTCTTCTGCTTTGGATTTGTTTCCACAGGGGTCACCACTGTTCTCACCATGACGACACTGAGCATCAGTGCACGAAACTCATTGCCCAAAGTGGCTTACGCGACCGCCATGGACTGGTTCATGGCCGTCTGCTATGCATTTGTGTTTTCCGCACTGATTGAATTTGCGGCGGTCAACTACTTCACAAAACGTAGCTGGGCTTGGGATGGCAAGAAGGTGATGGAAGCCCAGGAGCTGAAGGTGAGAATGCCATGGCAAGGAAGAGGGGCTGAAACAGGAGTGGAGGGAGAGGGAGGGAGGGAGGGAGGGAGGGAAGGTGTCCAAAGTTGACAGGAGTCTGGGGATTGAAGAGAGCCTGTGACTGGTCTTTGGCATATGCCCAGCTCCTCGGAGGCATCGAGTGTCACCTTGGTAGATAATATGCTGTGCAGGTGAGGTGTGGTTCGAGAAGGCGGAGGCCAGATAAGACCTCTTGGTCTTTAGGTTTCCAGAAGATGCAGCTATTTTTGCTGCAACACATTAGGTACCCTTGGAAACTGGGCAGCCACAGACCTGGAGGAGTATTTGAAACCTCCCCTTCACTTTGGGCAATGTTGTGCAGCCCAACAACATTAAACCACCCACCCACAAGCACAGAGTGGTTGCAGCAGCTACCTCTTCTTCTTTTGTTTGTGATTATTTGTGACTTTGGGGTCTGGCAAAATGAGCTCTGAGAATATCTGTAACTCATAAGCCATTTTGGGCATGAGAAAGGTCACCTGGCTTCCCTCGTCAGTGTGTACATTCCTGTGTGTGTGATGGTGGTGCTTTCCTCTTGCCCCAAAGATGCTGCCCATGTTCTAAAAGAGATCCTCACCTGCAAATTCATCTTGATCAGAAGAACATACACTCATCAAGATCTTGTGGCCCCAGCCTTTGCATTGTGTCATCAGAAAAAAAAATACTGCAAACCCTCCCTAACTATAACCACAGCAAATCTGTGGTATTTGAAATATGAAGTCACATATTTATAGATTGTTCATGATTATCTAGAAATTAACTGGATTTTGGTAACTAGGAAGAGAGAGAGAGAGAGAGAGGCAGGCAGCCAGGCAGATAGACAAACAGACAAGAGAAAAGTCCTCCATGAACAGAGGAGCTCCTCTCTTCCGTTGTTACACAAAGTACTTGATATACTTGGGGGGAAAATGCCTGCCTGCCTTTACCTGATCGTTTTGGTTCTAGTTTTGCTGGTCCTGGGAGATAGTTTGGACTGAAGCGACTGAAGCTTTTCAAAATAAGCACTGCAACCCTGCAGTGGGCCTGGGGGAAAAGAGGCAGCCCATGTGGCTCCTTCAGAGCGAGACGAAAGGACTCTGCTTGGATGGGGCAGTTGCAAATTTAGCTTGTGCATTGCACACTAGTTGTTTTGCACATGTAATGACTCACAAGTATCCCATCAGGAGCCTGTCAGAGCAAGGACCTCCTTTGTGCTCAGATCACCCTTTCTGTAGCTAGTGGGCCAGCTGAATCTGGCTGAAGACATTCACATCTTAGCCGACATGGTTCCTGATAGGTGGCACAAGCAGGTAAAGGAGTGTCCCCATGCGGTCACCTTAATTTTTCAAGAGAAGCAGTCCTTTCTAGGACATGCTGAAAGAATCTGCACATGAGGACTGCCTTCTGCAGATTCTCTATCTTGATGGGATTCGGCCTCCGTAGAGGCCATATTTAGTAAGGATTCATGGTGCACGTTAACATGCCCATGGCCCATTCAGCTCCAGTTTTACCTCAGAAAGAGCCTGCTGTAGCCTTAGTACGGGCTAGGTCAGGCTAGTCAGTGGAGGTCTTGGGTTGCTGCTCCACCCATACCCCTGTGCTGGTATCCAAGGACTTTTGCTTCCTTTCCCAGAAGAAGGAGCCTGTTACCTTGGCGAAGAAGACAAACAACACCTACAACATTGTGGGCACCACGTATGCCCTTAACATCACGAAGGAGCCAGGACTTGCCACCATTGCCAAGAGTGCAGCTGCTGCCACCACGCCCACCCTGGCAGCAGTAGTTGTGCCCCCAAAGGTGCCCCGAATGGAAGAGAAGCCACCAGAGAACAAGAAGACTTACAACAGTGTCAGCAAGGTAGACAAAATGTCCCGCATCGTCTTTCCAGTCTTGTTTGCCATTTTCAATATGGTGTACTGGGCAACTTATGTCAACCGGGAGTCGGCCATCAAGGGCATGATCCCCAAGGATTGAAACCTGCCATGCAGCCCATCCATCAGCCCACAGGACCTCGGAAGGAGAGTCCCTAGGTGGGTCCTTTGTCACCTCACTGATTCTATATTTATTTTACTTTCTTTTATGATTGATTTTGTTCAGCTGTTTTCCTTCCTCTCCCATGTGAACCAAACTGTGATTTTTTTTAAAAGAAAGGATAGAACCCAAAAACATTGAATTTGTTGCCTGTTTGTTTGCATTTTTCTGTTGTGCTGGGGGAGGCATCATGAAAATGTGTGCCTCTAATGCAGCAAATCTGGCATTCATTCCCACCCACTCACCCTCTCCCTGGATGTTGGTTTCGTCTGCTATGCATTCCATGCCCTATCCTGTTGAGAAATGCTGGGTTGTTTATCCTGCAGCTTTTGATGGACAGCCCTGGTGATTCTTGGTGCCACTTTTTCACAATGGCCTTCCCTGAGGTAGCTGAGTGGTTTCTTTGCTTCTATCGTAGGGCTTGATCACACATGAGAATAGAACACCAGTTATACCGATTCCTTTCATCCCTCTGTTATATTGATACATTTTTTTTCCTGGAAGTCACGTGGTATAGATATTGGCCAGAATGTTTACATTGTTTTTAACTGTATTGATTCATTTCTTTCTATATGAACCAAAGCAGGCTACACTGCTGTTTAATTTTGTATTGAATCATTTTCTCTACTGTCTCTTGGGCCAATCTGCCTCCTCTGTCATTTTAATTTTTTTAAATTACTAAAGGTGATATATTGATGAATTACTGTACTAGCCTTAAACCCTCCTCCCCCTTTCCCTTCCCTCCTTTACTTATTATCCCCTTTTACTTCCCTGCATATCTCTCCCTCTCTGTTCTGGGCTTTCATTTTTCTTATATTTATTTATTTATTTATTTATTTATTTATTTATTTATTTATTTATTTATATATATTAAGGGTACAAGCGCCGTAGCCATGAAATGGCTGGAGTGCCCAGAGACCCAACTGCTTCACAAAGGAAATAAGAGTGACAGCAACATTCACACACACTGCAATGATAAGGAATTAAGTGATGCATTATTGGTACAATTTAAATCAAGCTTCCTGACAAAGGGGAAATAAACTGAATGCCGGGGCAAATGAATTTATGTTGGCTGTACATCATGTGACTGGAAAATCATGAAACAATCTTAAAAAATGGCCAAATCAGTATCACTGGGGTTCTTTTGGCAGGTGTAATCGAGCCCTTACACATCCACTCTTGGTCTCTCTGTCATATATATTTTCTGGTGTTCCCAGTTTGGAGGACTAGCTAGCTCTACTTTGGAGAGTGGTGTTAGCCTCGGGGTGGTGGAATAGAAGAAGTCTGCAGACGGACCCAGGAAAATAGGTTTGGCAGGTTCTGGGCTCACTGAAGGACACCTTCCGATTTGCATCATCCTCTGAGATTCAGCAGGAGTTGATGGCAACCTCACTGGCTGTACTTTTGTCTTCAGGACTGTCATAGCATGTTTTCTTTTCTGGTGCAACATTTCTCCATCTGAATTCCTTCCTGGATTTCCTAATTCCCTATTTGTGGTCATGGGAGGACACCATGGTTAGTTTTCAATTGTGATGCTAGACGGGATTTCCAGGTTTTTTATAGATATCCGGCTGCCTTCTGATGTGGTTCTCCTTTCCCTTATCTTTCTGTTTTCCTTGCCTTTGAAGTATTGTGCAGAATGGTTCTTGGCAACCTCTATGGGCAGGACCTGTTCTCGATCAACCCAGAGTGCAGGACACACAATAATAGGCTCAAGTTATGGAAGCTAGATTTCAGTTGAATACCAGGAAAAACTTCCTAACTCTTAGAGCAGCATGGCAATGGAACCAGTGACCTTGAGAGGTGGTGAGTGCTCCAGCACTGGAGGCATTTATGTTAGACAACTACCTGGCAGATCTCCTTTGACTTGAATTCCTGCCCTGAGCAGGGGATTGGACCCGATGGCCTTAGGGGCCCCTTCCAACTTCATAATTCTATGATTCTATGTACAAATGAGTGCAAGTAAGTGGAGCCACACTTTTGCTTTGCTGGTTCATTCATGGACATGTGCTGCAGGCATGTGTCTGTTTGCAATCGCTTCTGGAATACTGCAGTGCAAAGAAGCACTTTTAAAAACAAGATCCTGTTGGAATGTCACATGTTCTCTCATGAAAAGAGGGCCAAATTTGCAGGCCTCATCTGCCTGCTTTTCTTTTTGAGTTTGCTTGTGTGAAGCAAGCCATCCTGCCTTGGTAACAAGGTGCCACTTTACTGTTTGTGGAGGATAAGGAACTGGTTCCCAAATTCTGCCTTTCAGCTTCTCAGACTTCGGGAACTGAACCATTGAAAAGAGGGGAGAAGCAGCAGCAAGGAATTGGGGGGGGGGCAGCAGGGACACTTTCTGAAGTCCCAGGAGATGAGCACCCCATGCCTGGTTGTGCTGACGCAGACCCTGTGACTGGCCATCCCATGGCCCGCTTACATGGTGCCATCTGTGTATGAACAAATGCGCACATGCCGGGGATCCTTGCAACAGAGGAACAGAGACAGAAGGATGGCAGTGAACTGCACACATGAACCTGTGAAATTTTTAAAAATCTCAATGTGAATTTAGGGCAGATGGAGCAGAAGGCAGAAGTTCTGGGAAAACAACAGAATGAGATGAGGGGGCAGCACAGAGAGAGGAGCTTCCCGTTCCTTATTTTCTGCAGCGTCCTGCCCACAGGACCCATTTCTAAAAAACAAAACGACACAACAGAGAAGTGAATCACGTTGTTTCGTACCTCAGGGGTAGAGGGCCAAGTTGCTTTGGTGGCTTTCTGCCCTTGATCCCTGGTCTTGGCCGCCCAGGAGATCAGGATCTTGTCTGTTGCCCTGCCCAGGCACTGCACTTGTCTCCACAAGAGGAGGCGCAGCCATACTCTGGCTCAGTGAGTTGCCTGTCAGCACCTTTTTTAATTGCACAGATAAGGCTGGATAAAAACGTTTTGCCAGATCTTCTCGCCTGTCTGTTTGTAGCACAATTCTGAACGAAGGAGGCGGGTGGGCGGGCGGGCTAGGCTTCCGCTTGGTGTCGCCTGCCTGGGGAAAGCAGGCCAGTCCCTCTCCCCATCTCCTGCTTGAGGTCTCTCCTGAAAATCTTTAGAAGGTGGGGACCAGCTGTGAACATGGCTGACCCAGATGGCCTGAAAAGGATGTATGTGCACATGGAGTTGGCCTCTGTGACCTCAAGGCAGACACAGAAAGGAACTCTGACCAAATCACATTTTTGGCACAGGTGCTTGCCTGTAAGCAGGTGTCATCACCCGGCCATCTGCAAAGCAGTGGAGCAGCAGGCCGAGGGGGTTGGCTGAGGGCAAACGCTGCCGTTCGCCCCCAGTCCAGGTAAGGCTTTTTCCTAACTTTCTCTCCCCTCCTGCTTCTTAGTCATGCCACCCCCATTGGCAGATCCGAGGGCTCTGTGTATTGCCTTTGAAGTCTGCTTAACACAGTGCCCTGCTACATTATTAAACATATAAACAACTGCCGTAAACAACCCAAATACATCCTGGAAATCTAATTAAGAATTATGTTACGCCCTTGGAAAAGGCACCCATGGTAATCTTCAGGCAGGTGGGTGAGCAAGTGGGTGGGCGGGCAGGCAGGCACCTGGCTTGACTTAAGCCCCTTCCTCGCTCTCCTTCAAACCGTGCCCCTGGTAATGCCTGCAGAGGTGCTGCCCACTTTGCCCTTTGAAGAATGTTGGAAACAGCATGGGAGAAAGGAGAGGCAAGTCCCCAATAACTAATCCAGAGCCCTGTCAGTGGCCTCAAAGGACGAGCCCCTTTCTGCTTTGCACCAGGAAGACTTCAGAAGATCCCCAGAGATCACCCACTTTGCCTCCTGTTGTGACTGCCGGTTGAAGCAGTGGTGAAGGGAGGGGACTGACTTTGTTGTGCCTGAAGGGCACCCCCACCCCCTCCAGTCCCACAGCTGGCAGAGCCATTTCTACCCATCCCTTCCTCCCCCTAAAGCTTTCCGTCTTTTCACAAGCAGGTCTTTTAACCTTTAAGAGTTCTCAGTGGCCTGGATTTTATTTTTTTATTTTTTGCATGGTTTGAAGTAGAAACGTACTGCATAAATGAACAAACAAACAAGCCTGTGAGAAGGGCAAGCTCCCCAGAGGAGCCTGGATTCCCTGAAGCAGCAGCAAGAACCAGAGAAAAACGCTGCGCAAATATAAATGCTAGCAATGGATCGTCATTGGAATATGAGTTTTCAAAAATGGCATTTGGACTTCAAGGTTGGGAAATATTTTAAGATAACATGGAAATGAGATTCTCCTTGTTTAATTTTAGAACAATAACTTTGAAGTGTCAGTAGGCCGTACCTCAGGCATTTCCACTTTCTTGTTCTCATGAGCCGTAGGACTGGACTTACGCCCATTTCTGAGCTCTGCTTGGGTGATCTGATCCTAAAGCCACTGGATTCTGGGGCCAGTTGAGGCCTCCAGACGGACACCTGAGCACCATGGCAGCCACTTTCTGAGCCAGAAACCAAGCATGGATGATGCTGATTTGTCCTTCCACATGATGATGCCAGGTGGATGCACCCAGGAAGGCCGCCTGTCTTCCAGCAGCAGGGGCAGGTCAGTTGGGATAAGCCTGCTCTAGGGAGGGAGAGGCTGCCCTCGGGGCCCTTGGCCCCTACCTTTGGGGGAGGTGCAACCAAGAGACAGGCAGGCAGGCAGAAGAGAAAGGAACGGGGCTGCTGCGCACCGTTGTCTGGACCAGGTCCTGTGTTCGTGGGAGGGAAAGAAGGCTCTCCACATGCCAGGTTCTCATCCAACCCAGCTGGACTGGCCAGGGTTGGCCGTTGTCATACCAAACCACTTGGAACTCAGGGCCCTCCCCCCTCCCTCGCACTCCTTTGTCCTGGCTGGAGGTGCAACATGGTGGCTGATGCATAAAAGACCGGAGCATACAACCTGCAGGCTTGACGCCTCTTCTCCCACCCCCAGAAGGGCTCTTCTGCTGTCACACCTTCCCTGTGAAGGTGAAGAGGGGGCCCTTTTGTTGTGGGGGAGCCGAGGGAGAGGAGTATGGCCAGTGTTTCCTGCAGGATATACACCCTCCCGGCAACCCTCTAAGCACATGCAGGGACAAGCACACGCGCTACCCAGATGCACACTCTCTTCCTGTTGCCTGATCCAGCATGGATTCAAGGTCCAGATGGGAGGTGGGAGAGGAGCTTCAGGTTCTCTTGGCATGCCTGGCCATTGGCTGGGCTGGAGCTGGAGTCCAATACAGGGGGAGGGCACGAAGCAAGAAGCAGCAGCCCTTCCCTCTGTATTGCTGCCTTGCACCGGTTCCTTTTGGAGAAGCATCCAAGCAAGGCCTGCTCTGTTGTGCTCCTGCCACCTGCACGGCTCTCTGCTAAGAGTACGGGATCCGGTCTCTGCCGTGAGAGGCTTTCAAGGTGGCCTTTGATGGGGAGGTAGTGAAGAGGGGGAGGAGGAGGAGGAGGAGGAGGAGGAGGAGGAAGCACTGTTGTTCACAGAAGCCTCCAATTCTCATCCTTACCTGGCAGGCAAGGAGGTGCCCAGGTAGGGGATGAGACCCATCCAAAGGGAACACTGGGAGAGTGGAGGACTGGCCCATGAATGAGGCCAGGTCCCTGGGGCAGGTTCAAGTGCAAGCTGTGTCAGTCCAGCTCCTGAACCCTGGGGCTTTCAAACTGGCCAGGACAGGTTTCTTTCTTTCTTTTTTTTAAAGAACCCCACCCACCTTTATTTTGGGGCAGTTGATCTGTGATAAACCAAATGATGCGAATAAAGAATAGGAGAGACAGAGAGAGAGAGAGCGC